AGGAAATGTTCTCATTTGGTTTTTGTGTTCCTATGCCTAGCAGAGTACCTGACCCATGGTAGTGCTTTAATAAATGCTTCTCATATTACATTGTGATAATGAACAGGTTACTTCATTTTTCTAGCCCTCAGGTTCATCTGTGAGCTATTTGGACTAAATGACCTCTGTAGTTCCTGAGCTGTAAATCATAAGATTGTCTGATGGTGGTGAATGATAATACCAGAAAATAATAAGATTTTAATACATCAGTGAATCTGGGACATGTTTAGCCTGGGTACTTCCCTCTGTGGGTAGAGATTGTGACCTGTCCAAGCCTGTCTACTTCTGGTCCATGTCCTTCCATAAAGCCCTAAAAGGTCTTTTCCATATGCTAGAGACCTTTCTGTAGGTCTCTTAACATTTTGTGGCTGCCAGTGCAAGCATGTATTGCCTTTGGTGAAGGAATTCACAGTATTTGTTCTTTGGGGGATGTCCAGGAGAACATTTCTTAAAATGCACTCCCAAAGTTATTTATTATCATATTCCTCACTTGTGATAGAAAGTGAAACATAGTGTGTATCAGGGACTATCTGTATTTTTAACATTGCTTTATTTTTCGATTACTCTTGGCACTGATATAAATCTTACTTTTTTAAAAAAATAAATAAGCTTAGGTTTTCCTTTTTTTTTCCCCCCATAGAATCCAAGAACTACATGTTGCCACATTCCCTGAGCAAAGTATTGATTGGGATTTTGAAAAAGTATTCTGTCCCACAGTCAGTTTAAAAACAGCTAGAAATTGCTTCCTTCTTCCAGACATTTGGGAAATAAATGTACATATACAATCCAACCAATAATCTCCATCTTTTCTGGACAATTTAAATAATCCATTCAGCTAGACTTTTTTTTTATTCCATTCTTCCCCCCTCTCTCCCCCCCATTGGATGGAAAGGTTTGGGAAGATTATTTTTTTTTATTGTCAAATTTTAAATTAGGGTGGCATTACTCCATGAGTTGTACAATTTTATTTTACCTAGTAAATTAATAGCAATTGTTTACTAAGTGAGGGAAGAAACAACTTTTAAATTATGAAAGTGAAACATCATTAGTATATTGGCTCTTTTTGTCTTTATTGATATATCAAAATCCCATCTAGAAAATAATTTGTATTAGGTAGATAAAGATAGGGCAGTATATTCATATGCATAATGGTAGTTTCTAAAGCATGTTGACCCCTCCTGGATTTAATGGATTCTCTTTTCTGTGGTATCTCTACTCTGAAGAGAGAAAGATTACTCAAGTGTCTGGCTGCTCAAATGGATCTTTAATTTCATCCATTTGAACATTGCCTCTACTAAAGCATATTTCCGTCTATCCCTGACCGCCCAACCTGTGCAGTTCTCATCCACGGGCTCTCAAAAGTTTGCCACAAAAGTTCAACCCAACGTGCTATAGTCCTTCTTCAATGTGTTTTAATCTTACAACTCTCTTGATTTCTTTCCTCCTTTTCCTAAATAGATGTCATTCATCAGTCATCTACCCCTTTCCATTCTTCCTGCTGCCACCTTCATTTAGTCTCTCATTGTTTCTGCCTGTACTCTATTTCGAGTAGATTTAGGACCCCAGAATGCCAGAATTGGAAGAGATTTCCATGGATACCTAGTCAGAACCCTACCTGAGAACTGGTCATCCAGCTTTTGATTGAAAATCTCAAGTGAGGGGGAACTCACATCCACCAAAGGCAGCTTAATCTCACTTTTTGGAAAGTTCTAACTAGTAGGAAATTATCTTTATATGTCTCTTTGCAACTTCTACCTGTTGCTCTGTTGTATCTGCCCTCCAAGCCTAGAATAGCATCTCACATTGGTAAGCTCAATAAATGTTTGTGAATGAATAAGTGAGTGAATACTACCTACAACTTTGAAACCATTCTTAATTCCTAGACTTAGACTTAATTTCTAGATTTAACCTGGGGTCTGTGAGCTTTTTTTTTTTTATTTCATTGCAATTGGAGAATAAGGATAGGAATGTCTTTTTCACCGTCTCAGAAGTGGTCAAATCTGTTTTAGCTCAGAAATTATCATTTGTGCTGAAACCAGGAATGAAAAATTGTTGGTTTTCAGTAGTTTTTCAGTCATGTCTAACGCTTCATGACCCCGATTAGGGTTTTCTTGGCAAAGATACTAGAATAGATTGCCATTTTCTTCTCCAGTTAATTTTACAGATGAAGAAACTGAGGCAAGCAGGGTTAAGTGACTTTCCCAGGGTCATACAGCTAGTAAGTGTCAGAAGCTGGATTTGAACTCAGATCCTGCTAACTCCAAGCCAGGCATACTGAGCTCTGTGCCACCTAACTGCCCTTATGAAAAAATGCAGGCCCAAAATAGTACTCTTACCTCAACTTTCCTCTCTCCTTTGTCCTCCTCCCCCTCCCCCTTTCTCTTCTTACTCATCTCCCAACTTTATCTCTGTCTCTGGGGAATGTTTTTTTCCATGCCCAAGTACTGAGCAACTGAAAATGGGACCCCTATGAAAACAGAGTGTCAGCTTAATTTCACAGCAGTAAATATAAGCTGAAGTATATGCCGACTGTGTCATCTTATGAAATGCTAGGTTGTTTATAATTTCAAAAGCATTGATTAAATTAGAGCACTTGGAAATAGTCCTCTAGCCATTGGCTAGAAGGACTAGTTAGACTGGTGATTCCTGAGTGGCCTTGCATGGTTGGCTGAGTGGCCATTTCCCAATGAAAAAAGCTAGGACTATGGAAAAAAAAAGTAATGCCATGGCTTCCTGAAAGGCCTTTTTGGAAATATTCCTTAAATTTGGTGGTGCAAGGGTCTTGAAGCTCTCTAGAGTTTTAAAAATATCTCCACATCAGATAGAGAGTGTGGCATGACAATCTCTTTGTAGCCACCACATAACAGCTGTAGGCTGGTGCCAGGCCAGGATTAAAAATATAACTTTGACTTTGACCATTTTGAGCCAGCTTGTCCCTGGAAAACAGCTGTCTAGAGGTAGCTTTGAAGAGGCTGTCTTGCTATACCAGGTTACTATCCAGCCCAGACATAAGTCATTAGGTTGAGCTGTAGACCTTTAATTTTTAAATGCCCTTGTCCCAGGATTAAGAGGCCATGGCAAAAAGAGTATACGGGAGAAGGTAAGAGGAGAAAGGAGTACTGCAGGATAAGTTATGAAGATAAATGGCCTGGCTTTAGGGTAGATGCTTCTTATATTTCTGAACCTGAAAGGACACGTGCTGTGAAGCATCCTGAAACCACACAGACAGTGAATTCCCAGCTGTGACATGGCTGTATAAAGAAGGAACTCAGATTGATTTCAACATGAAGACCACACAGAGTTACAGCTAATGGGTTCTTTGATGCTAGGGTTGAGCTTGCTTCTACTTACATTTTTCAGCTACCAAGAAAATAAAAAGACCACCTTGATTTGTTACACTGCTTTTTTATACCAATTTATAAGAGTAGTAGCTAGGACCAAACTGTTTACTATTGAAGTGGCTAAATAATGAAAGATTCAAACTATAGAGGAAAGAAGGATTTCTCATCCTCCTTGGCTGATTTCCCCCTCTATTCTTACTAATGAAATCCTCCTGAAGTCTTTCAGAACTTTTGAAAGATCTCTCCCCCCACTTCCCAACCCCCTTCCTGTGTATTTCCTTGAATTCTTGAAATTCTTGGGTCTCTTTATAATTAAACAGCTAAAGATGAGAAAGCAAGTATTTCTGTATCTGAACAGTTTTGTCAGAAAAAGTGAATAAATGTAACTACCCTCCCATGAAATGAAGTGGTTTTTATTCAGCTTTTATTCACACATATTATAGTGCCATCTTCTGTTGGAAGTTTTTGTAAACAGCCACAGGGGACTAGAGTACTTTTTCACTAATGTGCCCTATTTCAAAAATGGTTGATACATAATTATACTAAATAGAAGCTAGTCAACTGAGAGTATAGGAGTTTACTCCTCTGGTTGTATAGTTAGCTATAATGGGAATTCCAAATAAAACAGTTCTGAATCTGTTAGAGTTTGGGGCACTATTCATAAATAAGATACTATTTGTTGATCATACTTATATTAAAGATAAATGTCTCATTCAGAGATTTATTATAGACACTTAAAACATTTTTAATTGGCCACAGCTCATTTGCATGTGTTTTACTTACCAATGATAACAGATACTTAGTTAACATAAGTAATGGATAATTACAGAATTTAGTATTTTTAATGCTCTGCATGTATTTAAGGGTTTTAGAGTGACTTGCTGTAAGATAGAAAGTGATAACTAAATTATTATCTAGTACTTGCTGAAAAAACGAAGTAATAAAATTCCATGACAAACTTATTCTCTTAATTATTCTTATAAGTCTTATTCTCTTAATTATAATCCTTAAAACAATTAGCAAGTAGTCATCACTTTGTATTTCTATTCAAATTTGACTTTCTCCTCCATACAAACTAGTTATTAGTCTGAAAGTCTTTTTTCTTTTTATACAAAGGAATGTTAAAGACCTTTAATAAGGCAAATTGAAATTGACTCATTCTCCAACAAAACTTGATTCAAACTAAAAAAGTTTGGGTATTTTTGACCTTTTAATTTTTTTATTTCATTAACTTTTTAATGGCCGGAAAGAGAAGGAAAAGGAGATTTTTCTCACACTGGTTCTAGTAGAATCAAAGTGAAATTTACCCCCAGAAGTCTGGAAAAATTTCCATCTGAAGTTCTAAGTAAAGGTTTGGATCATTTTAGGTAAACTTCAAGAAAGTTTCCAGATAACTAGTGATTTCTGCTTCCTTTTCAACAATAGTTAGTGATTTCTGCTTCCTTTTTATCACATTTCATTCAAATAATTGTGAACTTTGGAACTTATATATATATCTATATATAGATATCTATATCTATATCTATAGATATCTATATCCATATCTATATCTGTATCTATATCTATATATATTTGTTCACAGCTTAAGTGACTTGTTCTAATTTTCGGCTCTTTCCACAGGGACCCTTTGAAAATACAACAACTGCAGAACCAAATTAGACTGGAACAAGAGGGAAGCCAGTGGTACCATCAGCAGTCGAGCGCCCCACAGAACCCTCCCCCATCCCCACCTTTCCCTCCTCCACCATCTTTCCAAGAGCTTGAGGCTAGCCAATCTGTCCCTTTCCCAGATCAGATGAATGTTCTAACCTCTCACTCTTCTCCCATCATGCAGCCCTCCAGCTCCTTCAACTATGCTAGGCCCAAACAATTCATTGCTGCTCAGAACATCAGCCCTGCCTCAGGTTATGTGACTCCTTCTTCCAGTTCTTCCACCTCCAGCCTCCCATCTCCCATGTCTCCAACTGCTACTCAGAAACAGTTCGGCCGTGTGCCTGTGCCACCCTTCCCTCAACCATTTCCCTCTGAAGGGGAGTATCTGTGGTCTCCTTCTTCACCCTCCCCACCTCCCCCTCCTCCCCCAGTCTTCAGTCCAACCACAGCTTTTCCCATGTCTGATTCCTTTCCACTCCCTCCTCCCCCTCCTCCACCTCTCCCAGGGTCAGGTCCCTCACCTTCTTACTGCCCTTCTCCAAATGCTCGATTTGGACACTCCAATCAAACACCAGCAGCCTTCCTCAGCTCCATGTTGCCGTCCCAGCCGGCTCCCATCGCAGTCAATGCATTAGGACTTCCAAAAAGTGTTACGCCTGTGTAAGTATGGCCCTTCAGTTTTGTTTCAGTTTTGTTTCAGCTCTTTCTTGTTCATGGAGGTCTACACACACATCCACTTTGTTTCCTCATAACTAACCTCATTCTATTGTATTGAAGACAGCTTTTTTCAAGATATTGTATAACAGGTACATTTATAGCATCATAGACCTAGAGTTGGAAGGATATTTAATCCAGTTCTCTGACTTTAAAGATGGGGAAACTGAGGTTCAGAAAGTTTAAATGATCTGCCCAGAGTCAATAGAAATGGAATATTTCTATTTCTGTAGAAAATGGTAGAATCAGGTTTTGAACCTTCTTGACTCCCAAACTGGTACTCTCCCCCTTCACCACCCTGTCTCCCCCTGTTGTCTAGTCTACATTATAGAATGCCAGAGCCTTCAAGGTCATCTGATTTAAAATTTTCCTCTTATTGATGAGGAAATTAATGTTGTAGAGGTGGAGTGATTATTATTTTCTTAATTTTTGTGAGCCTGGTCTCCCTCTCTAGCCCAGGCTGGAAGTGGAACAGTTACTCATAGGCCTGATCCTGCTAATGATAGGCACAAGCGTTTTGACCTCCTCCATTTCTGACCTGGGCCATTTTGCCCTTCCTTAGAAAGCCTCTTGGGCCCTACTCCAGAGTGCTCAGCATCTTGGTGCTAGTTAGTATGGACATCTGCTCAGTTTTACCCCTACTGTACATGACCTCCTGAGCTCATGTTTAATGTTTAGTCATTTTTCAGTCATGTTTGATTCTTCATGACCCCTTTTGGGGTCTTCTTGGCAAAAATACTAGAATAGTTTACCATTTCCTTCTCCAGCTCATTTTACAGGTGAGGAAATTAAAACAAACAGGTTTAAGTGACTTGCCAGATTCAAACTCTGGAAAAAGAGTTTTCCTGACTCGAGGCCCAACACTCTATCCACTATACCACCTAGTTGCTAGATTTAGTGTGAACATCTGATCAGCTTTAATGCTATTGCACCTCGGAGCTCCTGAGCTCAAGCAATCCAAATCTCAGCCTCCCCAGTTAGAAGAATTCTAGGCATGCAGCATCATGTCTGGCTTGAAATTATTTCCCCAGGGTTATAAAGCTAGTTAGCAACAGAGCTAAAACTAGAGCCCAGCTTTACCTGACTTACAATCCATTTGGTCTCTTTAAAAGTGCCAGTGCATTGTGTAATAAGATTTTTCAATGCTACTCTTCCACATTTTTCACGAAGAGCCTATAATTAAACTGGCAAATCTAATTCTATTTGAATGAGTATTTTCTCAAGCTAGATAGGCTTGAAGTGTTAGCTGCAAACATTGGAGATATAGTGTATGAAGTAGTCTGGCAAGGTGACCCTAAGTTAATTTATTAGATTCTTTAGCTTCCCTCATTTTAGCCAAAACTTAAATACCTTATCTGAGTCAACCTGGTATAGTGAATAGAGTCAAGAAGTCCTGTCTTTTACACTTTCTGGGTGTTGATCTTGAGTAAGTCATTTAATCTCCTAATGACCTAGTTGCAGAGCAGGGGAAAAACTGCGCTGGTAGAAGATTTCCTCATTGGGAGTTCCATATGCAATCCCTCAATCAATTAGTGAACACTGATTAAGTGTTTACTTGTGTGCCAGGCATCAAAAAATAGTTACTGCCCTCAAAGAGCTTCCATTTTAAAGATGGGGGATAACATATACATAAAGTAGCACATATAAAATAAATACAGATAGAAAGTAGACTTGGAAGGGAAAAAACTAGCAGTTGGGAGCATCAGAAAAGGCCTCCTATGGAAGGTGACATTTGAGCTAAGATTTAAAGGAAAACAGGGACTCTACAAAACAAAGATTAAAAAAGAGAGCATTCCAGGGACAGGGGACAACCAGTACAAAAGCATGGAAATGGGGGGTGGAATATTCTACAGGACAAACGGCAAGGCCATTCTGACTGGAGTTTGTGAAAGGGAGTAACATGCTAAAAGAGTGAAAAGTGAGGCAGTAGCCATGCTATAAAGAGGTTTAAGTGAGAAAAAGAATTTATGTCTGATCCTGTTTTTTAAGGGGACCACTCTGTTAGAAACAGGGTTCAGACACTCCTTGGTAGAGTTAGGGAGGTACAAGCAAGCTGTCGCAGCCCACTGCTTCCCTAGTTATGAACCATCAGAGTTCTGTTCTCTTTTAAGAAACGAAACCAAACCAAAGTGAGCAAAGGAAGGAAGCGTTTATTTATGATTCTTGCAAGAAGCAGGTGTGTGGTACCTCAGAGGGACACACACTACAGGAGTGAGAATAAACTGTATCTCCCTATGCCTGGCTGCAGTCCCTCCTAGTTGACTTTCATTGGGTCAGCATAGGTCACAGACATGTTACCCTATGTTATCCCTCCCTCCATCAGATGATGCGTGTTAAAAAAAAAATGGCATCTTAATGCATGTGTACTCTTAAGTAAAGCTTAACCTTTGTCCTACTTCCAGCCTTTTTAACCAAACAACCAGTTTTATCCACTTTTAGCCAGTTCTGGAACCTCTCACCTAGATCTAACTTTTCTCTCAATTTCCTTAAATGAAAATATAATCAATCATTTCTTACCTGTCACAACTGTACTTTAGGAGAATCTTTTTGGGAGATGAATGGGAGTGGGGATGGGCTTGGAGTAAAGAATCCAGTTACAATTGTCTAGATGAGAGGCGAAGAAACCTCAAACTAGGGGTTATGACTATATGTGTAAAAAGAAGGGAACATATATGAGATGCTATAGAGAAAAAAATGAAAAGATTTGGCAGCTAATTGGATATGTGGGGTGGTCAACAGAGAGAAAGGAGTCAAGGATGACACTAGAGTTCAGAGCCTAGGTATCTGACGGGATAGTGATATTCTTCATATAGTAACTGGGAAATTGAAAAGAGAGGTGAGTTTGGGGAGGAAAATAATGAATTCTGTTTTGGACCCATTGAGTTTGAGATACTTAAGCAGGGCTTGCAGTTTGAAATGTTCAGTAGGCAGTTAGTGACTCAGGACTGGGAGAGAGAATAGGACTGGATAAAAAGATCTGGGAATTATCATCGTAGAGATTATAATCAGATTCATGGCCTCTTATGAGGTGAGGAATTGAGAAATTATAGAAAGAAAAGTCCTATGGCAGACCTTCAGGAGACAGCCACAGTTAGTAGACATGTTATGACTTAAGACACAGTAAAGACACTAAGAAAAAACAGTCAAATGAGTAGGAGGAAAGTCAAGAGAGGGCTGTCAGGAAAACTCAGAAGGGAAGGCATATCCTGGAGCAGAAGTTGATTCTCAATGTCAGATGCTGCAGAGAGGTTAAGGATGAGGATTAAGAAAAAGGCCATTAGAATTGACAAGAGCTATATGTTTAATACGAATGTATACGTAGAGACTATATCAGATTGCACACATTGTCTTAGAGAGGCAGGTTGGGAGGGGAAGAAAATTTAAAACTCAAAAGTTTATGGAAGTGAATGTTGAAAACTAAAAAAAAATAATAATAAAAATAAATTTTTAAAAAATAAATTAAAAAAAGAATTGACAAGAGATAATTGATGACTTTGGAGAGAACAGTTTCAGTTGAATAATGAGGTCAGAAGTCAGATTACAGAGGGTTTAGAAGAAACTGAAAAGGCAGGAAGTGTGGGCTTTGAGTGTAGAATGGCTTTTTCAAACAGATCCATTCGTTCTTCTCCAATATCAAATACCTGAGAGAAAGCAGAAAATTAGAAAGACCTAAGTTGAAGTCTTTCCCCTAACATATACTAGCTATGTGACCCCAGACAAGTCACTTAAACTTCTCAGTGCCCCAGGTATCTCTCCAACTGTAATTTGCAAAACAATTTCGTGTGTGTGTGTGTGTGTGTGTGTGTGGTTGTACATGTGTATATATATTTCTATAGTGCAGAGAGTTTCTAGGGATCTTTTTGTTTTGGAAGAGAATGACAGCAGGGGAAATATCAAGGTAGAGGTTAGGACATAAAAAAGTCAAATGCTTAATTTAGATAATGCAATTTCTAAACCATAAGGAACCTGTTTTTCCATCATAAGCTTATACATATTAAATCTTTTCTCTTGAAAACCAAAGATGCCTCCTCTACCCCAGGGGTTATCAAGCTTTTTCAATTCATGGACCTCTCTGGCAGTCTGGTAGTTTTTAAATGCATAAAATTAAAATGCATAAGGTGACAAAGAAATCCCATTATTCCAATTCAGTGATCAAAATTCTTTGTTAGAAAAAGTTTGCAGAGCCCAGGTTTCAATAGCTCTGTATGTGCTGGAACTCTCATTCTGCAAGAGGTGGAATCCTGTAGCTCATAGATATGGGCAGCAGAAGTCAAAAAGACAGGCAACTAAAACTGGAATGCCAGCCAGTTATTAAAAATTTCTAATTAAAAAATTGAAAATAAGTAAGAATAATACAATTTTTTTAAATGGCTCAAGTCTTCCTTCAAACTAGGAGCAGCCTCAAGCCATGAATTTATTGTGGCTTCAGGAAACTTCAGCGGGTCCAGCTTTTCTGCTGTCCTTCCTCAGGCTGTCAGTCACGTTCTTAACTGATGTTGCCAGGGTCACTGGCAGAGAAAATATTGCCCCACACCCAAAGCTGTTGATAGATACAAACGTAGCACTGTTAAGTCAACTAAACCATTCAGATGGTGGGGGGACGCAGGGGGATGTTGAGGGTAGTAAGGAGAACACAGCCTCAGGAAGGAATCTTTTTGCGCTCTTGTAAAATTAATGTCCTCTATCTCCCTCCCTATTGTTGATGGTTCATTTTAAAGCTTCCATTTGCTATTAGCCTCCTCTGGTGCTGTAAATCAAGCTGTAGGAGGTAGATGGAATCTAGTGGATTAAGGAATTCCACATTGGGAAACAGTGAAACATTTCTACTTCTCTTTGAGGCTAAGCAACTGGCCTGCCCTCCTTCTCCAAGTCTGTGGGGGTAAAACCTAGACTTCCACCATCACTAAGGTTACATCAGATTTCTTAATCACCTTTACATTCCCACG